AACATAGCAAACTAAAAGGTTAAAAAAAAACAGAAAAACAAAGTGCAGGTTTGTGAAGGAAAATTTGAAAAGAAAAGAAAAGGAAATGATGAAGCTCTCTAGTTAAAGGGACATGTGAAGTTTAATGGTAAAAGTGGAGAATGGAGGATGAGGTTGGAGAGAGGGGTGGTGGGTGGAGAAGAAAAAAATGGAAAGAGGGCTGGTTTCTAATCCTAGAGAGAAGATAGAGCATTTTCTCTCACTAACGTGAACAATTATTTTAATTGAATATATTTTTTTGAATATATATATATTTTTTTTTTTATCGAGCCAAAACTCACGCTTAGAAAATTTAGCATACAACCGCTTTTCCCTCAATCGTTGCAGCACTATTCTCAAATGTCCTCATGCTCTTCTCTCGATTTGGAATAAACCAGAATATCATCAATGAACACCACTATGAACTGATCTAAACAGTCATTGAACACTCTGTTCATCAAATCCATAAAAACGGCTGAGGCATTTGTCAAGCCAAACAGCATCACTACAAACTCATAGTGCCCATACCTTGTAGGGAAAACAGTCTTAGCTATATCCTGCTTAGCCACTCTTACCTGATGGTACCCTGACCTCAAATCAATCTTGGAGAATACTGCTGCTCCTTTCAACTGATCAAACAAATCATCTATTCGAGGTAACGGGTACTTATTCTTCACTGTCACCTTATTCAGCTCTCTGTAACCAATACACATCTGTAGTGACCCGTCCTTCTTCTTAACAAATAGAATTGAAGCTCCCCAGGGAGAATGACTCGGTCGGATAAAACCTTTATCTAAAAGCTCTTGGAGTTGCTTCTTTAATTCCTGAAGCTCTGCTTGGGCCATTCGGTAAGGAGCTTTAGATATTGGTGCTGTTCCTGGTACTAGTTCAATACTAAACTCAACCTCTGCTTCTGGTGGCAAACCTGGTAAGTCTTCCGGAAACACGTCTAAAAATTCTCGAACTATCGGCACCCTCTGAATTCTTGGCTATGGAACATCACCACTCTGCACTACATGGGCAATATATCCGAAACACCCCTTTCTCAACATCTTTCTAGCCTTTACACTACTAATCAACATACTCAACTGATGGCCCTCTCCAAAACGAAACTTATCTCCATTATCGAGATTAAATCTCGCTTTCTTCTTCCGACAATCAATCTTTACTCCATACCTCCCTAGAAAGTCCATGCCTAATATCACATCAAAGTCAGGCATATCAAAAACTATTAAATCAACTGGTAACTCTCGACCCTTGATCACTACGGACTCTCCTAATAACATCTCCTGAGTCCACACACTCACCCCTTCAGGTAACTCTATCTTAATAGGTTGACTCACTTTAATAGGTTTCAAACTTAATCTCTCTATCATCCCATGAGATATAAAAGAATGGGTAGCCCTAGAATCAATCAAAGCATATAAGGAAACAGCATGAAATAACAACTGACCAGTTACAGCTAATGGATTGGCCTTGGCTTCACCCTGTGCCACTGTAAAAACTCTAGCATTGGCACCTCTAGAAGTCTGAGCTACAGGTGGAGAGGAGTCGGTGGAAGAGGAAGTTTACAATCCCTCATCAAATGCCCTGGCTGTCGGTGCCTATAACATACATTTCTATCCCTCAAATACTCTCCTGAATGGTTCCTCTCGCATTTAGGACAAGGGGGAAACCCTTCTGTTCTGGACCGTTTGTTCTTCCAATCTCTTATATTTTTCCTTGGTTGGAACTTCTTCTTGGCCCTTACTTCTCTATTCCTTGTGACATCTATTCTCTCCCTCTGTAAAGTAGTGGATGGTTCACTGGGTACCGCTGAAGGTAACCCTTCTGCAAGATATTTGTTTACATAGATCTCTGTTTACATAGATCTCTGCCCTTAAAGCCCTTGCTAGAGCTTCAATGTAGGTATGAGGGGGCTCGGCTCCTGTCATTACATCTTGGGCAATATCTGATCTCAACCCCTACACAAACTTATCTCTCCTTTGTTAGTAAACGGTCCCGTATACGCAGCAGAAACAGAAAAAATAATATAACAGGATCGTTTACATGAGCCAAGATCAAGGGTATGATTTTAGCAATTTATATTAAATAAAATCTGCATAAATATTCAACATGAGTTAAGAGAAACAAACGCACGTTGAAGGCTCCTCCAAATTTGTCGATGAATGTTTTGCTACCGATCCAAGTGTAGGATCGAACCTGTGTAGTCCACACGAAGACAATCTCAAAAGAACCAAAGAGGGATTTGCTAGATCCTCTTTGGCTTCAAGATTAAGAAGAAAACAAAATCAATTGAATTGATTTTAGGCAATAGGTGTTACTGCCGTGGGAGAAGCAAAAAGGGCTGCTGTGTGTTTTGGTTTTACAAAGAAAATCCTTTTTCTCATTAAAAATCACACACTTTTCCTTTTATATTTAAAAAACCAATTTGCCCTAATCCCATATGGAATAGGCTCCAACCCAAACGCCCCATGTTGCCAAACACACTCCCAATTTGATTTATTTTATTTTCCATCATTATCTCAATTAAAATCAATTAATATATATATATTTAAATATATATATATTAACATTTAACAATAATGATAATATATTTAAATATGTGTGAACACATATTTAAACGTAATTTCACTTATTTAATTTTTCTAACAAATTAAATAAAGGCTACGACCTCAGCAAATTTAATTGCACTGTGAAATTACCAAAATACCCTTTCGCCTTAAAAGACGAAAACGCCCTTCTTTCTTCTTGCATCTTAAATTGTCTTCTATGTGTGTGACCCTTAGGCTCCTCATCATATCGGCAGTGTATAGTATTGCGATTAACACCAATTAATCGTCTCACTAATACACAGACCAAGATTGGCCCCTAGCAAGGCATCATGGCCACCCGATAGATTCGGATTCAGCAAAGTAGCTACCTGTCAACGATATGGTTACCGTGCAATTCGATCCTTTCATCATACGTTATCTCGACGAGACGAAGGCATAGAAATAGTGTCAACCTTCGGTTACTCTCGATATTATTTATTCAGTTTCTGGACCAATGACCCGTATTATAAACTGGATAGAGCAACAACTCAATCCCACTGTGGCCACAGTTTTAGTGTCATTGCCATATACTGAATTGCGCCGTGAGATAACTTTCTCCCGTACCCGGGAGTGATAAATCCTCTGTCAATCCACCATAGTCTTGATACACTCCTTGATGCAGCCAATCACCACCGTATTGACAGCTCTGAAAAGAACTGCGTTAGGCTAGTGTCAAACTACACCAATCGGTGCACAAGGCGCTCCGGTGATCTCAAGTCTAAGGATCACATGCACCACCATTCGTTAGAGGATTTGTTCCATAGACACTGGGGTTACCATCCATATGGAATCCTCTGGTGGGTCAGTCCAGTGAACTTGCTGTGGTGTAATCGCCTACAACAAACACCCATGTGTTGCACCAGGTTGTCACCAAACAACCTTGACAAGTGAGATCAGTCACTGCCTTTCGACAGGGTCGTTCAACACTATGATAGCCTTACCGTATTATCTGTGCCCTTACTTCAGAATAATACTGGGGCTACAGACATTTCTAGAATGGCCACCATATGTGCTCATAGGGTTCTCACTATCAAGATTTGAAACACTTGATACCCTCGTCACGGCTCTACCATTCTAAGGACATATATCAATACATATTGCAATAATAATGATTTACGCGATATAGAATAAAATGCCTTTTATTAATTAATGAACATTATTACAAAGAGTCAATTCTACAATAATTGATTGGCTCTAGGGCATCTACTCTAACATCCTTAACTCTGGTGTATACACTATCCCAGGTGCAAAACGAGCAAGGGAGTTAAATCTCACTGAATATTTTTTCACAGAACTAGTCCCCTGCTTTAGATGAATAAACTCTTGGACTTTCTCATGTACTCGATCTTCTATTCGATATCAGCCTCAAACAATCTTCTGAATTCTTTTTTTTTTTCTTTTTTCTGATAAGTAAGTAATCATATTAAAAAAAAACAGAACAATGTACAAAGGCCTAATAAAAGGTGACCAACCTACTTTGGAACATGCCCTGAAAATAGGAAACAAGAGAAACAAGCCGACAAACAGCCATCCGCTCTAAGGGTTTATCTAAAACCACAAAGGGAGATAAACACCAAGAAGAAAGTAAATAGAACACAAAAAATCCCACCTACCATAGGACACCTCCCTAGGTTAGGATCATTAGAAGAAAAACACGAAATCAAACTCTTTACCAATGAGACAAAACAACCAAGCAAAAACCCTTCTGCGTAACCCTCTGTAATCCAATCTTCAAATGGTGTTGAGAACTTGAGGAACGTCTTTGAAAATAGATCTAGGGAGGCCCCAATCATTCGCCAACTTCCCTATAGGATGTGGTGACATTCCTAAGGTCCAAAGCTTTATCTCCACAACACTTTTGATAGCATCAATTATGGTGAAAGAATCCTTATGGTCACCCCTAAAACTTTGCGAATTTCGTTCCCTCCAAATCCAATAAACCGTAGCCCCTAAACAAAGCTGACCCAAAGTGAATTTTAAACTCTTACTTCATATTCCTTGCCAAATGGGGGATGTAATCATGCCAGGGTCTAACCACATAACCAAGGTCAACAAGACTAAGGATCTTGCTCCAAATAGACTCATCAACCTGTCCTTTGTAGGTAATCTCCTTTATAGCCATCCATAAGATCATAGAGTATTTGGATAGCCTTTGAGAACACACCCAAGTCACACCCACTCAAATTTTGCTCTCCTTCCTCTAATTGCCTCCCAAGCCGATTTTGGTAGAGAAATCCCCAGAAGCTGAGGGTATCCAACAAATCTTGTCATCAACATTAGAAGGAGTGAAATTCACAGAATTAATTCCTCATGTTAATAAGAGCCCAAGAATTGGCAGTTGGCCACTTCCAGTTGCATCCATCAATCACAGAACTCACTTTAGCATCCTTACCAATCCCCCGAAGCTGAGGGGTTTTCATTCTTTGGGACTAACGCAATAATGGCGCAATTCACCTCTCTAAGCATTTTCCCTGACTTGATGAAATTTTGGATCGCTTTAACAACATCATGACCTACAATATCCCAAGCTTTTTTAAAGAAAAAAGCTCCATAACCATCTGGCCCCGGTGCTTTGTCTTTACTCATTCCAAACATGGTCTCTTGAATCTCTTCTTTGGAAACCTCACTAATCGTGGAGTTAGCCTCCTCCTCCAAAATAACAGGAGTGATAAGCTCCTCCATGCCCTCATAGGAAACACCTGCACACTTATCTTCAAAAAGATTTGAGTAGAAAGACATAAACTCGTCTTTGATTCTATCTTGATCACTAGTAACCGAGTCTTCCCCAATTTCTAAGGAAACAATCTTATTTCTTTTCCTCCATCTGGCAATTGATTTTCCTTCCCGTAACCATCTAACCCTAGACTTTTGCTTGGCTAATGATTCTTCGGCTTTTGAAAGCTTGACCATGTTTTCCACCTTAAGTTTCTCCTCTTGCAAAAGAGCACCATCAACCGGATCCACAACAAGCCTTTCTTGGACTTGGGCCAGATCATCTCTTGCAAATTTCACTCTTTCTGAAATGTTTCAGAACTCCTTTCTATTTAGTCTCTTAAGCTCAACCTTTAACGCTTTTAGCTTAGAGACCAGCCTGTACATGGGGTTACCCTCCACCTCCACACTCCATACTCTCTCCACGATCGGTAAGAAGTCCTCATACTCTGCCCAAAAGTTGAAAACTTGAAAGGGGATTTCTTACCTTGACAATGGTCCGACATGACCGGAGTAAGGAAGGACGCAAAAGAGTTGGGAAACCTGCTGCTCCAATGCTCATTACATATCACCCGATCAAGTTTACACCAAATCCTCCTATTGACCTCACCTCTGTTATTCCAAGTGAAGAATGAACCAATGGGATTAAGATCATCAATATCAGCTTCCTTACACATGTAATTAAACTCTTCACATTGCGAATTCAATTTATTAGAACCTCCCTTCTTTTCCCTTGCAAATCTAACCGCATTAAAGTCCCCCATAATAACCCATGGCTCACGTTGGCAAACATTGGCATGGTGGATAAGCTCCTTCCATAGCTCCTTCCTTTCCCCCACACTATTCATCCCATAGACAATAGAACAAAAGAGCATGGAATTATCTTTCAAAATTCTAATCTTACAAAGAATTGCTTGAGCCGAAGTTTGGATAACCTGCACATGCAAAATATCTCCATCCCAACCCACCCAAATTCTCCCCCTTTTACAAAAAACAATAGTTCTCAACCATAGCCCAATTACGGAACACCATTTCCCTAACAACATCCATATTATTCTCCCTAACCCTAGTCTCCAAAACAACACATAAACTTGAATTATTGCTACTAAAAAGATTCCTTACCTCTTTTTGTTTAATAGGGGAATTGAGCCCCCTAACATTCCACACAGCAACTTTAACCATGGCTATGAGGTAGCTTCGGGGGAGTTCTCGCCTTCTTCGCAAGTTTCCTCCTTTTACTCTTAGAAAGACTTCCCTTTTCCTTCTCCAATCTTAACTTTTCATCCACGTGTACCAGGTTCCCAAACGGTTGATAAATTGGAGAGCTAGTTCCCATGTCACTGTCCTCAAATGTATTCAGGAAGACAGCATTGGTAGTTGGAGTTCTCTCCTCTCTATCCTCATTGGCATTCACAGCTTCCTCCCCCAAAACCGCATTACCCAACTTTGTTTCACCTTTCAGCCCTTCCCCAATACCACTCTCGCTCTTCCTCTCCTCCCCATTGGCAACATCTCTCTTTTCCTTACCCTCTTCGGATAGCACCACAAATTGGTTCACACTCTCACAAGGTTTAGGGGCCTCACCTTCCTTTTTTCCCTGTACCCTTTGCTGACTTACTTCTCGAGGGACACTTATATTCTTCTTGCTAGTAACTTGTCTTCATTCTTGCACATGAGGAGAAGTCGGCTTTTTGGGTAACAACGGTTCGGTTTCCTTGGGAGCCCAATGACAGTTTCTTTGGACATGCCCAAATGTTTTGCACCAAGCACAGGTAAATGGCTTCCATGCATACTCCACCTTAACTAATGCAATCTCACCACTCGGCATCTTAACTCAAATTCGTCCTCAAACTCGGCCGAAGAATCCATCTCAATGCACACTTTAGCAAACTCAAGCCTTTCGCCCGACTCGGCAATATTGTCCATATAAAGAGGGGTGCCTATTACAGTTGCTATATGACTTAAACCCTTGGGGGTCCATAACTTAAGAGGGATACCATAGAATTTCGCCCATATGGGTACCCTAGTAATCCCATTCATGCCCAATGACAAATTAGGAGTCCATAACTTCAAAGAGAAAGGCTGCTGATAATCCGTAAATTATATAGTTTTTATTTGATCTTTTTGTCGGATTTCAGGTACTTTCTAGTGCATTTTTACCATTAGTTTAATTGAATATATTTTTTGAATATATATATATTTTTTTTTTATCGAGCCAAAACTCACGCTTAGAAAATTTAGCATACAACCGCTTCCCTCAATCGTTGCAGCACTATTCTCAAATGTCCTCATGCTCTTCTCCGATTTGGAATAAACCAGAATATCATCAATGAAAACCACTATGATGACATCAAAAGTCATTGAACACTCTGTTCATCAAATCCATAAAAACGGCTGAGGCATTTGTCAAGCCAAACAGCATCACTACAAACTCATAGTGCCCATACCTTGTAGGGAAAACAGTCTTAGCTATATCCTGCTTAGCCACTCTTACCTGATGGTACCCTGACCTCAAATCAATCTTGGAGAATACTGCTGCTCCTTCAACTGATCAAACAAATCATCTATTCGAGGTAACGGGTACTTATTCTTCACTGTACCTTATTCAGCTCTCTGTAACCAATACACATCTGTAGTGACCCGTCCTTCTTCTAACAAATAGAATTGAAGCTCCCCAGGGAGAATGACGGTCGGATAAAACCTTATTAAAAGCTCTTGGAGTTGCTTCTTTAATTCCTGAAGCTCTGCTTGGGCCATTCGGTAAGGAGCTTTAGATATTGGTGCTGTTCCTGGTACTAGTTCAATACTAAATCAACCTCTGCTTCTGGTGGCAAACCTGGTAAGTCTTCCGGAAACACGTCTAAAATTCTCGAACTATCGGCACCCTCTGAATTCTTGGCTATGGAACATCACCACTCTGCACTACATGGGCAATATATCCGAAACACCCCTTTCTCAACATCTCTAGCCTTTACACTACTAATCAACATACTCAACTGATGGCCTCTCCAAAACGAAACTTATCTCATTATCGAGATTAAATCTCGCTTTCTTCCCGACAATCAATCTTTACCCATACCTCCCTAGAAAGTCCATGCCTATCACATCAAGTCAGGCATATCAAAAACTATTAAATCAACTGGTAACTCTCGACCCTTGATCACTACGGACTCTCCTAATAACATCTCCTGAGTCCACACACTCACCCCTTCAGGTAACTCTCTTTAATAGGTTGACTCACTTTAATAGGTTTCAAACTTATCTCTCTATCATCCCATGAGATATAAAAGAATGGGTAGCCCTAGAATAATCAAAGCATATAAGGAAACAGCATGAAATACAACTGACCAGTTACAGCTAATGGATTGGCCTTGGCTTCACCCTGTGCCACTGTAAAAACTCTAGCATTGGCACCTCTAGAAGTCTGAGCTACAGGTGGAGAGGAGTCGGTGGAGAGGAAGTTTACAATCCCTCATCAAATGCCCTGGCTGTCGGTGCCTATAACAACATTTCTATCCCTCAAATACTCTCCTGAATGGTTCCTCTCGCATTTAGGACAAGGGGGAAACCCTTCTGTTCTGGACCGTTTGTTCTTCCAATCTCTTATATTTCCTTGGTTGAACTTCTTCTTGGCCCTTACTTCTCTATTCCTTGTGACATCTATCTCTCCCTCTGTAAGTAGTGGTGGTTCACTGGGTACCGCTGAAGGTAACCCTTCTGCAAGATATTTGTTTACATAGATCTCTGTTTACATAGATCTCTGCCCTTAAAGCCCTTGCTAGAGCTTCAATGTAGGTATGAGGGGGCTCGGCTCCTGTCATTACATCTTGGGCAATATCTGATCTCAACCCCTACACAAACTTATCTCTCCTTTGTTAGTAAACGGTCCCGTATACGACGCAGAAACAGAAAAAATATATAACGGATCGTTTACATGAGCCAAGATCAGGGTATGATTTTAGCAATTTATATTAAATAAAATCTGCATAAATATTCACATGAGTTAAGAGAAACAACGCACGTTGAAGCCTCCTCCAAATTTGTCGATGAATGTTTTGCTACCGATCCAGTGTAGGATCGAACCTGTGTAGTCCACACGAAGACAATCTCAAAAGAACCAAAGAGGGATTTGCTAGATCCTCTTTGGCTTCAAGATTAAGAAGAAAACAAAATCAATGAATTGATTTTAGGCAATAGGTGTTACTGCCGTGGAGAAGCAAAAAGGGCTGCTGTGTGTTTGGTTTTACAAAGAAAATCCTTTTTCTAAAAAATCACACACTTTTCCTTTTATATTTAAAAAACCAATTGCCCTAATCCCATATGGAATAGGCTCCAACCCAAACGCCCCATGTTGCAAACACACTCCCAATTTGATTTATTTTATTTTCCATCATTATCTCAATTAAAATCAATTAATATATATATATTTAAATATATATATATTAACATTTAACAATAATGAATATATTTAAATATGTGTGAACACATATTTAAACGTAATTTCACTTATTAATTTTTCTAACAAATTAAATAAAGGCTACGACCTCAGCAAATTTAATTGCACGGTGAAATTACCAAAATACCCTTTCGCCTTAAAAGACGAAAATGCCCTTCTTTCTTCTTGATCTTAAATTGTCTTCTATGTGTGTGACCCTTAGACTCCTCATCATATCGGCAGTGTATAGTATTGCGATTAACACCAATTAATCGTCTCACTAATACACAGACCAAGATTGGCCCCTAGCAAGGCACATGGCCACCCTATAGATTCGGATTCAGCAAAGTAGCTACCTGTCAACGATATGGTTACCGTGCAATTCGATCCTTTCATCATATGTTATCTCGACGAGACGAAGGATAGAAATAGTGTCAACCTTCGGTTATCTCGATATTATTATTCAGTTTCTGGACCAATGACCCGATTATAAAACTGGAAAGAGCAACAACTCAATCCCACTGTGGCCACAGTTTTAGTGTCATTGCCATATACTAAATTATGCCGTGAGATAACTTTCTCCCGTACCCGGGAGTGATGAATCTCTGTCAATCCACCATAGTCTTGATACACTCCTGATGTAGCCAATCACCATCGTATTGACAGCTCTGAAAAGAACTGCGTTAGGCTAGTGTCAAACTACACAATCGGTGCACAAGGCGCTCCGGTGATCTCAAGTCTAAGGATCACATGCACCACCATTCGTTAGGGATTGTTCATAGACACGGGGTTACCATCCATATGGAATCCTCTGGTGGGTCAGTCAAGTGAACTTGCTGTGGTGTAATCGCCTACAACAAACACCCATGTGTTGCACCAGGTTGTCACCAAACAACCTTGACAAGTGAGATCAGTCACTGCCTTTCGACAGGGTCGTTCAACACTATGATAGCCTTACCGTATTATCTGTGCCTTGTTCAGAATAATACTGGGGCTACAGACATTTCTAGAATGGCCACCATATGTGCTCATAGGGTTCACTATCAAGATTTGAAACACTTGATACCCTCGTCACGGCTCTACCATTCTAAGGACATATATCAAACATATTGCAATAATAATGATTTACGCGATATAGAATAAAATGCCTTTTATAATTAATGAACATTATTACAAAGAGTCAATTCTACAATATGATGGCTTAGGGCATCTACTCTAACATCCTTAACTCTGGTGTATACACTATCCCAGGTGCAAAACGAGCAAGGGAGTTAAATCTCACTGAATATTTTTTCACAGAACAGTCCCCTGCTTTAGGAATAAACTCTTGGACTTTCTCATGTACTCGATCTCTATTCGATATCAGCCTCAAACAATCTTCTGAATTCTTTTTTTTTTCTTTTTTCTGAAAGTAAGTAATCATATTAAAAAAAACAGAACAATGTACAAAGGCCTAATAAAGGTGACCAACCTACTTTGGACATGCCTGAAAATAGGAAACAAGAGAAACAAGCGACAAACAGCCATCCGCTCTAAGGGTTTATCTAAAACCAAAGGGAGATAAACACCAAGAAGAAAGTAAATAGAACACAAAAATCCCACCTACCATAGGACACCTCCTAGGTTAGGATCATAGAAGAAAAACACGAAATCAACTCTTTACCAATGAGACAAAACAACCAAGCAAAAACCCTTTGCGTACCCTGTATCCATCTTCAAATGGTGTTGGAACTTGAGGAACGTCTTTGAAAATAGATCTAGGGAGGCCCCAATCATTCCAAACTTCCTATTGCTATAGGATGTGGTGACATTCCTAAGGTCAAAGCTTTATCTCTCACAACACTTTTGATAGCATCAATTATGGTGAAAGAATCCTTATGGTCACCCCTAAAACTTTGCGAATTTCGTTCCCTCCAAATCCAATAAACCGTAGCCCCTAAACAAAGCTGACCCAAAGTGAATTTTAAACTCTTACTTCCATTCCTTGCCAAATGGGGGATGTAATCATGCCAGGGTCTAACCACATAACCAAGGTCAACAAGACTAAGGATCTTGCTCCAAATAGACTCATCAACCTGTCCTTTGTAGGTAATCTCCTTTATAGCCATCCATAAGATCATAGAGTATTTGGATAGCCTTTGAGAACACACCCAAGTCACACCCACTCAAATTTTGCTCTCCTTCCTCTAATTGCCTCCCAAGCCGATTTTGGTAGAGAAATCCCAGAAGCTGAGGGTATCCAAAAATCTTGTCATCAACATTAGAAGGAGTGAAATTCACAGAATTCCTCATGTTAATAAGAGCCCAAGAATGGCAGTTGGCCACTCCAGTTGCATCCATCAATCACAGAACGTGAAGTTTAATGGTAAAGGTGGAGGATGGAGGATGAGGGTGGAGAGAGGGGTGGTGGGTGGAGAAGAAAATATGGAAAGAGGGCTGGTTTCTAATCCTAGAGAGAAGAGAGAGCATTTTCTCTCACTAACGTGAACAGTCTGCCGAAAAATGTCTTTGGCATTAGGAACTTCTCTCGCCCTCCTAGCTAATCTCCTCCTTTGGCTTTTAGAAAGACTTATGTACCCGTCTGTAAGACCATCCTTTTCATCTACTCGAATCGAATTTTTGAACCTCACAATAGCCGGTGAAGTAGACCCCATTTCACATCCCTCATGGTTTTTCACCAAGGGACCCCTACGTGGGGTTACTTCTCCGCTGTTGTCACTAGCACTTAAAGCATTCAACCTTTTGCTTACTTACAATCTCGTATCTTCTATGTTAGGAACGCTCACCCCATATTCATTCCCCTTAGCACACTTATCTCTATCATCACATGCACCTCGATTATAAACCCTGTTAAGATCAGCCCCGCTAGGGACATTTACCCCACTCATTTCATCCTTATCTTCCCCAAACCTATCTTCAACATTTTCACTACCCTCTTTGCCATAAAGTTCCCCATTATCCAGCCTATTTCCCGAACTAAGAACCACAAATGGATTAGATAGAAAATGTTTGTAAAATAGATGTGGATGGCAATCCTATGTTTAGGCTCATCTCTAAACTCAAAGCTCTAAAAGTAGGTCTTTGGGAGTTGAATGTGAAGGAATTTTGGAACATTTTCAAGTGAGTAAAGAAGGCAAGGGATGATCTTACTTTGTGCCAAAAGAAGTTGCAAGGGATGATCTTACTTTGTGCCAAAAGAAGTTGCAAGGGATCCTTTTGATAAACTCGTCATTCAAGAGGAGAGGGAAAAGGTAGCAAAATTACTCAAGCTTTCCAAGGCCGAGCAGTCGCTAGCCAAGCAAAAGTCTAGGGTGAAATGGCTCAAAGAAGGTGATTCTAATACGTCTTATTTCTTTAAGTCTATTAATGGGTGGACGAATAGAAATAAGATTGTGTCTTTAAAGATTGGGGATAATACCTACACAAATGACCAAGAGAGGATATAATTGAGGCTATCCAACGCTTCTTTCAATCGGGTAAGTTACTACGGGAGTTGAATTGTACCATCATTGCTCTAGTCCCCAAAGGTGGGAATCCATCTTCATGTAGTGACTTTAGCCCTATATTTTTTTTGTAATACGATCTACATGTGTATTTCCAAGATAATGGCAAATAGAATCAAAGGGGTGTTGCCCAAATTTATAAACAAAGCCCAAGTTGCCTTTGTAGGTGGGAGGAAAATAGTGGAATATGTGCTTCTTAGTCAAGAGTTGCTCGACCACTATGATAGGGTTTCAGCCAAGGAAAAGAGATGTGCCATAGAAGTCAACCTTATGAAGGCTTATGACTCGATTAGATGGGAATTTGCCTTACAGGTTCTTAAGTTGTTTGGGTTTCCTGATATTTTTGTTGGACGGGTAGGGGAGTGCATGAAAACTCCTAGATTCTCGGTTGCTATTAATGGAAAGTTGGGGGGGCTTCTTAGAAGGATCTAGATGGCTTAGACGAGGAGATCCCATTTCTCCCTATCTCTTTGTGATCTCTATGGAAGTCCTCTCAAGGTTACTAGTCTAGGTGGCGGCCAAGTATGATTTCAAGCACCAGTGGAGATGCAAGAATTTAAATCTAACCCATCTTTGTTTTGCAGATGATCTCATGTTATTTTTCCAAGCCGACAAGATGTCCATCACTCACTTGAAGAATGCCTTGGAGATTTTCACAAGTTTGGCCGGTTTAGAGCAAATCCCTCCGAGAGAAATATCTTCTTTTTTGGAATCAAAGATAATGAGAAGAATGAGCTTTTACATGTGTTCGGGTTTGAAGAGGGCAATCTTCCAATGAAGTACTTAGGAGTCCCCCTAATAACTAAGAAGTTAAGGTACACCGAGTGTAAGCCATTTGTGGATAAGATCTTGGCAAGGATCAACTCTTGGAATAGTAAGTTTCTCTCCTATACGGATATGATTATTCTTCTTAAAGCAGTCCTCTCGAGCATTCAAATGTATTGCTCTTCCATCATCACCCTTCCTTCTAAAATTCACGAGGATATTGAAGCTAGTTTGAGAGCTTTCCTTTGGTTGGGCCCGGATATGAAAAAGAACAAAGCTAAGATTAGATGGGAGGATGTATGTGCATCAAGAGAGGAATGGGGCTTAGGAATTATTAGAAGCAATGATTGGAACAAAGCAGTAATGACGAGACATCTCTGGAATGTAATTCAAAATCAGAGTGCTTCCGGTTGGGTTGACTAGTTTAAGGAATTCTATTTAGGCCAAAAAAAGTATTTGGGAAGTGTCATCTCCAGGTAATGCATCTTGGGCTTGGAGGAGTATTTTCAAACTTAGAGATGTGGCTAGGGACCAAATCCATCATATTATTGGCAATGGAGAAAAGAAATAGAATTGTTTATGACTCAGTCTCTCAAGATATGCAAGGGTAAGTGTGTTAAAATAGATGCCCTAGAGCCAATCAATTATTGTAGAATTGACTCTTTGTAATAATGTTCATTAATCAATAATAAAAGGCATTTTTTAAAGTCCTAAAGAATAATACTGTTCACGTTGGTGAGAGAAAATGCTCTCTCTTCTCTCTAGGATTAGAAACCAGTCCTCTTTCCATATTTTCTTCTCCACCCACCACCCCTCTCTCCACCCTCATCCTCCATCCTCCACCTTTACCATTAAACTTCACCTGTCCCTCTAACCATTTCCTTAAGTTCTCTTTTCACATTTTCTTTCACAAACCTGCACTTTGTTTTTCTGGTTTTTGTTAAACTTTTTGTTTGCTATGTTTCAGTCATTCTTTGCTGTGTTTGGGGGTTGTTTTTGGGTTTAAATCGAACTCCTTGGTTGTTTGCTCTCCTGTCTTCTCTTTTGCTTGTTGGTGGCTGTTGCGGTTGAGCTTGTTTTGTGTGGGCTGTTTCTTGGCTTGGCCGGATTGGGAAGAAGGTGGGTGGCTGCTGNACCACTATGATAGGGTTTCAGCCAAGGAAAAGAGATGTGCCATAGAAGTCAACCTTATGAAGGCTTATGACTCGATTAGATGGGAATTTGCCTTACAGGTTCTTAAGTTGTTTGGGTTTCCTGATATTTTTGTTGGACGGGTAGGGGAGTGCATGAAAACTCCTAGATTCTCGGTTGCTATTAATGGAAAGTTGGGGGGGCTTCTTAGAAGGATCTAGATGGCTTAGACGAGGAGATCCCATTTCTCCCTATCTCTTTGTGATCTCTATGGAAGTCCTCTCAAGGTTACTAGTCTAGGTGGCGGCCAAGAATGATTTCAAGCACCAGTAGAGATGCAAGAATTTAAATCTAACCCATCTTTGTTTTGCAGATGATCTCATGTTATTTTTCCAAGCCGACAAGATGTCCATCACTCACTTGAAGAATGCCTTGGAGATTTTCACAAGTTTGGCCGGTTTAGAGCAAATCCCTCCGAGAGAAATATCTTCTTTTTTGGAATCAAAGATAATGAGAAGAATGAGCTTTTACATGTGTTCGGGTTTGAAGAGGGCAATCTTCCAATGAAGTACTTAGGAGTCCCCCTAATAACTAAGAAGTTAAGGTACACCGAGTGTAAGCCATTAGTGGATAAGATCTTGGCAAGGATCAACTCTTGGAATAGTAAGTTTCTCTCCTATACGGATATGATTATTCTTCTTAAAGCAGTCCTCTCGAGCATTCAAATGTATTGCTCTTCCATCATCACCCTTCCTTCTAAAATTCACGAGGATATTGAAGCTAGTTTGAGAGCTTTCCTTTGGTTGGGCCCGGATATGAAAAAGAACAAAGCTAAGATTAGATGGGAGGATGTATGTGCACCGAGAGAGGAATGGGGCTTAGGAATTATTAGAAGCAATGATTGGAACAAAGCAGTAATGACGAGACATCTCTGGAATGTAATTCAAAATCAGAGTGCTTCCGGTTGGGTTGACTAGTTTAAGGAATTCTATTTAGGCCAAAAAAGTATTTGGGAAGTGTCATCTCCAGGTAATGCATCTTGGGCTTGGAGGAGTATTTTCAAACTTAGAGATGTGGCTAGGGACCAAATCCATCATATTATTGGCAATGGAGAAAAGAAATAGAATTGTTTATGACTCAGTCTCTCAAGATATGCAAGGGTAAGTGTGTTAAAATAGATGCCCTAGAGCCAATCAATTATTGTAGAATTGACTCTTTGTAATAATGTTCATTAATCAATAATAAAAGGCATTTTTTAAAGTCCTAAAGAATAATACTGTTCACGTTGGTGAGAGAAAATGCTCTCTCTTCTCTCTAGGATTAGAAACCAGTCCTCTTTCCATATTTTCTTCTCCACCCACCACCCCTCTCTCCACCCTCATCCTCCATCCTCCACCTTTACCATTAAACTTCACCTGTCCCTCTAACCATTTCCTTAAGTTCTCTTTTCACATTTTCTTTCACAAACCTGCACTTTGTTTTTCTGGTTTTTGTTAAACTTTTTGTTTGCTATGTTTCAGTCATTCTTTGCTGTGTTTGGGGGTTNTTGGTTTGATAACTGGCACCCGAACGGCCCCCTTGTTTGCACCTATGGGGAAAGGATTTTTTATGATGCGGGGATTGCTAAGGATGCTAAAGGGAGTTCTGTGATTGATGGATGCAACTGGAAGTGGCCAATTGCCAATTCTTGGGCTCTTATTAACATGAGGAATTCTGTGAATTTAAATCCTTCTAATGTTGATGACAAGATTTGTTGGATAGCCTCACCTTCGGGGGATTTCCCTACCAAATCAGCTTGGGAGGCAATTAGAGGAAGGAGAGCAAAAGTTGAGTGGTGTGACTTGGTGAGGTTCTCAAGGGCTATTCCAAGATACTCTATGATCTTATGGATGGCTATAAAGGAGGGATTACCTACAAAGGACAGGCTGATGAGGTATGAGGCTACTACTAATGCTCATTGTTGCTTTGGTAACTCATCCATGGAATCTCTTGACCACTTATTTTTTGCATGCCCTTTTTCTAAGTCTATTTGGAGCAAGATCCTCAATCTTGTTGACCTTGGTTATGTGGTTAGACCCTGGCATGATTACATCCCCCATTTGGCAAGGATATGGAAAGGTAGGAGTCTAAAATTCACTTTGGGTAGGCTTTGTTTAGGGGCTACGGTTTACTGGATTTGGAGGGAATGAAATTCGTGAAGTTTTAGGGGCGACCATAAGGATTCTTTCACCATAATTGATGCTATCAAAAGTGTTGTGAGAGATAAAGCTATGGACCTTAGGAATGTCACAACATCCTACAGTAATAGGAAGTTGGTGAATGATTGGGGCCACCCTAGATCTATTTTCAAAGACGTTCCTCAAGTTCTCAACACCGTTTGAAGATTGGATTACAGAGGGTTACGCAGAAGGGCTTTTGCTTGGTTGTTTTGTCTCATTGGTAAAGAGTTTGATTTCGTGTTTTTCCTTCAATGATCCTAACCTAGGGAGGTGTCCTATGGTAGGTGGGATTTTTGGTGTTCTCTTTACTTTCTTCTTGGCGTTTATCTCCCTTTGTGGTTTTAGATAAACCCCTTGAGCGGTTGGCTGTTTGTAGGCTTGTTTCTTTTGTTTCCTATTTTCGGGGCATGTCCCAAAATAGGCTGGTCGCCTTTTATTAGGCCTTTGTACATTGTTCTGTTTTCTTTAATATAATTACTTACTTATAAAAAAAAAATAAAAGGCATTTTATTCTATATCGAGTAAATCATTATTATTGCAATATGTGTTGATATATGTCTTTAGAATGGTAGAACCGTGACAAAGGTATCAAGTGTTTCAAATTGTGATAGTAAGAACCCTATGAGCATATATGGTGGTCATTCTGGAAACGTCCGTAGCCCCAGTATTATTCTGAAGTAAGGGCATAGATAATACGGTAAGGCTATCATAGTGTTGAACGACCCTGTCGGAAGGCAGTGACTGATCTCACTTGTCGAGGTTGTTTGGTGACAACCTGATGCAACACATGGGTGCTTGTTGTAGGTGGATATACCGCAGCAAGTTTACTAGACTGGCCCACCAGAGGATTCCATATGGATGGTAACCCCAGTGTCTATGGAACAAATCCTCTAATGAATGGTGGTGCATGTGATCCTTAGACTTGAGATCACCAGAGCGTCTTGTGTACCGATTGGTGCAATTTGACACTAGCCTAACGCAGTTCTATTCAGAGCTGTCAATACGGTGGTGATTGGCTACATCAAGGAGTGTATCAAGACTATGGTGGATTGATAGAGGATTCATCACTCCCGGGTGCGGGAGAAGTTATCTCACGGCGCAATTCAATATATGGCAATGACACTAAAACTGTGGCTACAGTGGGATCGAGTTGTTGCCCCGTCTGGTTTATAATACAGGTCATTAGTCCAGAAACTGAATACATAATATCGAGAGTAACCGAAGGTTGCACTATTTCTATGCCTTCGTCTCGTAGAGATAACGGATGATGAAAGGATCGAATTGTATGGTAACCATATCATTGACACCAGGTACTTTGCTGAATCCGAATCTATCGGGTGGCTATGATGCCTTGCTAGGGGCCAATCTTGGTCTGTGTATTAGTATCTTAAGTCTAAGGAGGATCTAGCAAATCCCTCCTTGGTTCCTTGTGATTATCTTCGTGTGAACTACGTTGGTTGGATCCTACACTTGGGTTAATAGCAAAACGCTGAGGGACAAAGTTAGAGGAGTCTCCAAACGCGCGTAAGATTATTGAACCTTGAATCTGATTTTCTGCAGATTTAATTTATATACTATATAAACTGTGATATTATACCCGAATCTTGCTTCTAAGGAACAATCCGTGTTATTTATGTTTTTGTTTTCCGCTGCGTAACTGGGTCGATGTGGGTTTGGGTTGGGACGAATTGGAATTGGCCGTCGACAAACTCCACCAAACTCCTTTAGTTAAGAACTTGGTGGTTCCCTCCCCCTTGAATAATCAGGACAAGGTTGTTGGAGACCTAATCCTTCAAGTTTGTTTAGCATCAAATCGGCTTGGGAAACATGTAGAGCGCACAAAACAAAAGTGAATAGGCACCATACTATTTGGCATCAAAAGGAAATTTCAAGACATTCCTTCATCCTGTGGTTGGCGATAAAGGAACGCCTACAAACCAAGGACAAGCTAGTTAGTTATGGAGTTACTTCTGATGGGATTTGTTGTTTTTGCAACTGGCAGGTAGAGACTCTTGACCACCTTTTCTTCTCTTGCTCGTTCACTGGAGACATTTGGACCCACTTGAAGGGTTT